CCCCCCCCCCCCCCCATCTGTGTTCTGGGTACTTCCCTGGAGGGTGTGAGCCCTGGACGGCTTCTTCCTGCCCCCGAGCTGGGTTGGTGACCAGAGCCGTCAGTGCACTCAGCCTGGCGTTTTGCCTGCCCGGCTGGTGGCTGGCTACTCTGAGGGCGACTTTGGGTGGCGAGAGGAGGGATGGGCTTTCTGAGCGCGAATGTGCATCGTAAGTTAGTGAGATGAGATGTGGTTCATATCAGTGTGTTCACCTCCTGCCTGGAGAGTATTTGTAACCCCAAGTCCACACTCACGCACATCTTGTCACTCACAGGCATGCGGAGCGGAGACCTGAATCGCAGCTGCACGCAGCCCAGCAGGGGTTGGAGGGGCAGCACTGCCGGCCTGTCCGCTCCCCGCTAACAAGGCCCCAGGGCCTGGAGTCCTGAGACTCCACATTTTGTTGGTGATTTCACTGTTGAAGATGCTCAGCGCTCGGTAATGGTGCTGAGTGCTGTCCTGGGAGAGGCTGCGAGGCCCGTGGAGAAATCCCTGGAGCCAGCCCAGCTTCTTCCGGGCGGGAGCGCGACGCGGGGCTCAGTGGGCACTAGACGGGGCGCCTCCAAGCAGAGCCCCTCAGACAAGGTCCTGCGTGGTCAGGTGATGTGTGCTAGGGCCGCAGGCTCCGTCCCAGCCGTGGCTCTGACCCGAGCCCGTGTTCTCGGCAACATTTCAGGACGGTTCCTGTGAGGCTAGCCTGGGCGCAGTGCTGTGGGAGGGGGCGCAGCGGCCGGCACTGAAGCCGCCTGAGCTGGCTCCTGTGTGACACTCCTTGCCAGGTTACTTTCTGAACTTCCTGGAGCCGGTGAACAACATCACCATCGTCCAGGGCCAGACGGCCACTCTGCACTGCAAGGTGGCCGGCCACCCGCCCCCCAGCCTGCGGTGGCTGAAGAACGACGCCCCGGTGGTGCAGGAGCCGCGGCGCGTCATCATCCGCAAGACGGAGTACGGCTCTCGGCTCCGCATCCAGGACCTGGACACGACAGACACCGGCTACTACCAGTGCGTGGCCACCAATGGGATGAAGACCATCACTGCCACCGGCGTCCTGTTCGTGCGGCTCGGTGAGTGGGGACGGGCCGGGCCTGGTTTGCAGGGAGGGCGCTTCACAGCCACCAGGGGAGAGTCACTGGCAGCTTGAAACAGCACACACCCCAGCAGCGGGACATCAGTCAGCGTGCCGGGCCGGCGTGCCCTGCCCTCGCACTAGTAAGAAAAGGGAGGGACACGGTGGACACGCTGGACGCAGGACATAATCCCGGGTTAGCAGGCAGGTCGTAGGCCACAGAGTCACCCTGCGGGAGGCCCCCACGCAGCCTGAGCTCCCACAGGCCTGGCACCTACCAGCCCACAGACCCCTGGCCCGGCAGGGGTGGGGGAGCCAGCGTGAGACAGCTCTGAACACTGTGCTAGGTACATGGCTGGAAGGAGGGTGTCCCCTCGCATCCCCCTGTTGAGAAGGTCCCTGGAATGCCCCAGCCTGTCTGTCACCGATTAGGAAAATGGGTCTTGTGAATCAAGGTTAGATGTGGAGAGAGAAAGAGCAAAACAGTGAAAACTACAAAAATAGGTCCAAAAGCCCTGGCCAGTGTGGATCAGCGGTTAGAACGTCTGCCCTCACACGAAAGGGTCTCGGGTTCAATCCCCAGTTAAGGGCTGGGACCTGAGTTGCAGGCTCCATCCCAGCCCTCATGCGGGAGGCAGTCAATGGCTGTGTCTCTCTCACATCGATATTTATCTCTCTGTCTCTCGCCCTCTAATTAGCATATTATGCCTTTATTATTATAGATAATAATCATACATAATAACCAGTGTGAATGAGTGACACCTCTCCAGCAGATACCTCCAGTCTCCCTTGTGAAGGGAAGCCGTCCTTTCGACTTGAAATTCACAACCTCCCACCCCCTCA